CTTTTTAGGATCATAGTAATGGATTTGTGCTAATCGTGCCACCGCTGTTTTTATCTCTTCTAAAATCCTCGAGTGTTCTTCCCCTCACTAGAATTTTCTTACAGGTAATTTAACATTATTCATCTTCTTTTTCTCATTTTCTTCTTGTAACAATGGTCTAAGTTTGTCAGTTAAACTCGCAGCGTTCTGGATAATTTTAGAAAGATGATTAATACTACCCATAAATGATCTTAATTGTTTTAAAGATTTCGGATGTTGCAATTTTAGAATTGCCTCTGTTTTAGTGATTTTCGGTGTTATGCCCTCTGACGGAAGTTTGTGACCTAGCCAGTTCACCTCTGATTGAAAAAATGCCCATTTTTCCAATTTTAACGCTAGATTCTCATTGTCCAATTTCTTCAAAACATCTGTTTGTAACTGTTCATGTAGATGAACCTTAGATACGATTAAGATGTCATCCAGGAAACAGAAGGTATTTTTTGCATGATTCAATATTCGATCCATAGCTTTTTGGAACTCTGCAGGCATGTCTGCTAATCCATAGAACCCGGTTAAAAACCTATATGTTCCTGTAGCCTGTCCACCCACTATATTGAAGTTACACTGTTTAGCTGTTTCTGCATTCAGTTTAATCTGACTATAGGCATATTTCAAATCCAAGACAGTGAAATACAACATACCGACTGTATTAGCAGTTACTATCTGACTGACTCCATCCAGTGATTCATCCACATTCGGCATCTGGTATTTGTTTTTATACAGTTGCCTATTTATGGGTTTAGCATCTAGCGCTAACTTAATGGAATCATCTTTTTTCACAGTAATAACTATCGGAGCCATGAAAAAATCACTCGTGCATTTGTCCAATTTTGTTATTTGTCCCTCCGATAACAGTTTCGATAATTCAGCTTGCACTTTGTCTTGTGTATGAATAGGGATCCTCCTACCTTTTTCCTGAATGGGACATAGTGGGTATTTGAATTTTGTCTTCACCACATGGTTTTTCGATTCCCCTTTTCGGTCAAATAGGGACGGGAATTTTTTGTTAAACTGATTTATCCTACCTTCCGGCTGCTCACACAGTAACACGTCAAACCTGGATTTTTGTGATGGTGAAGACTTCTGTGTTGTTTGTATTCCCAGTTTTCCTTGCAAATCTAAGCCTAGAATACATCTTGCTCGACGTTCTGTAACCAAGAACGTTGCGTCCGTCACTTCCCACCCTGCTGACCTAATACTAATACATAATGCACCAACTATTTGAATTGGTTGTTTGTTATAATCAACAAATTGCGTCGACAGATTCAGTTTTTCAGGTGGAATGAACTTTATCTTCCTAGCTCCCTCCATCAGTTGTTTAGCCGTTGTCCAATTTAGAAAAGATACTGGACTTCCTGTGTCAATTGTCATATTGATAATATGTGTATCGATTCTTACCATCGCTTTCAAGGATTTTATTTTGTGTGATCTTGGATCCCTTCTAATGTCGATTTTTCGAACGTCTTTTGTATCCAATCTCATCTCCTCCCTTTTGATATTTGATATCAGTTTGTCACATTTTCATTTGAAACCTGTAATTTTGGTTCCGCCGCCATGATTTCAAATTCTTCACAGGAATCAAAACTACGAAATAATTTGCATTTTTCTTCTGAACTAAAATTTTCTTCCGCAATTTCATTCACCTGGTTCGATCTACACATTTTTGCGAAATGGTTAGGCTTAATACACTTTTTACATGATTTTCCCATTGCTGGACAAATTTTCAAATGTCCTTCACCAAAGTTTCTACCGAATCTAGTACATGGTTTTTTTTCAGCTCTGTTTTTATCTTAGTTATCGTTCCATTTCTTCTTAAATTGGTCTCGATTCGATGGTTTGTAATTCTGATTTTTGTTCCCAACTGCCATAATTGGTTCCTGTTTTATTTTTGTCTGCGGCTCAAAGAGTTCTCCTCCCATTGAACTTCCTACCAACGATTTCTGAAACGCTTGTGTCGTTTGTTTATTTTGTTCGAATTTAATGGCCCGTTTCAATACTTCATCCGGTGTGAAAGTTTCAAAAGTCAATGTATCTTGCAATGCAGTATTCTTCTTTCAAGATATAAATAGATCTCTCACCAATTCTTCCTCTAAACCACCCAATTTGGCCGTAGCTGCTTGGGCAGTTAAAGCAGCATCAAAAGACTCCAACGTCTCTCCAGATTCTTGTGCCCTGGTGACTAATCTTTATCTCTCGTACGTAATGTTTTTCGTCTTTTCGAATGATACTTTAGCTAATCTCACCACCTCTCTGAACTCAATCTTTGAGATTTCGATGTGTGGATTTTTCTGTACAAATTTTTTCTTTCCTTCTGTGCCTAATGCCAAAAAAAGACGAGACGTAAGTCGCTTTTGAACTTCGTTATAGAACACATTATGTCCTACTTTCGGACCTCGTTCTCTTCTCTCTTCATTTTCGAGTATTACTCTGTCTCTTCTTAATCTATCTCGCCTCCCGATCTGTAGTTGCCTGTACAGTTTCCTGCTCTCCTGGAGTTTCTGGTCGAGGCATTGGCTCCTCAATTACTTCTTTTGCTTCTTCCAGTTATATATCAGGATTCACACTTTCTTTGACTGTCACTGATAACATGAATTGATCCAACCAAATTTTGAAATTCCACGGTGGATCCGAACTAGCGGACGTCCAGAACACTGGGATACCCATGTCTGTTCTGTTATCCTGTGCCATGAATCCTGCTGGCTGCGCCATGTGGTAAAGTGAAGTGTAACTTTACTCATAAATGAAAATGATAGGTTTCAATACTTTAATTCAACTTGAAACTGTGTTTTGTTTTTAACTTCATCTGCGGTTCTGTGAACCAGCTTTTTAAACGTAACTCGGTGCTATCAACACTGCATGACCTTGGCCATTACATGATAACAATATATAATTATAGATACCAATAAGCAATCCAAGGTTAGTGTGCAGCAGAAGTTACTTGGTTACTGCACATGCAGTATGTGCTGTACCACACACTAGGAAAAATTCTCCGAAAAAACTTGCGAGACAAAAATACCACCTTAATGATATTCTTGAAGAAGTCGTAGACTTTTCAATTATTGGAGTAGTTTACTTTACTTTTCGTTCACGCTTTACCCTTTTTGTTACGGCGCAGCGTTTTGCAGCTCAAAGTGTATAGCTTCATTGGATTGCTTTGTTCCTTTGATTGCTTCTAATTGAGCCAACAATACATCGTGTACGTTCACAAACTTAGCTCCTCTAGTTTTTGACAGTTCACGTACTAATACCTGCAGCATGCAGTTGTGCGAGCTGCAGATCATCTTGCTACTTCTTTAATCTTCATTCCGCTTTCTAGAAGCCATTCATTTATATTATTATATTGATTGTTTCCGTGGTTTCTCTGTTATTTCAGAAGCTTTTGCGTGATCGTTAAGACGTGTGCTGTCCTCAAATTGTAAGAACTTGCGTATCACAGAAGGCATATTTCCTCAATACTCCCCGTTGTGTATGTGGCATGCCTTTGTACGTCCGTACCCCAGATCAAGTTGCAAATAATCATAAAAACCTCACTATTTACGCAGAAGCATCAAGGTAAAACTCGCGTCGTTGGGATGGTTCCAGATAGAAATACTATGCTTCGACGTATAACGCTCTTGGGCCCTATTTCGATCGAGGAAGTTATTTCGTCTTTTTCGCAAACTCTGAACGTTTTTCACCGTTCCTTCATCATAATTTTTAAATGACTAATATCTTTAGACAAGATACTCACATTTTGTCCATCTGTATTTTGGGGGTTACTAATCTCCGGATAATAATTCGAGGTTAATCGCTTTTGGTTAAAAACGTTTAAAAAAAGTGATTGTAAATCTTTCAATAACTACACTTTGAACGGCCGCAAATGAAAACAAAATGTTTCAGAACTTTTGAAGGTCAAATGGACTGATTTCTAACTCTAAAGTCAAAGTTGAACTGCTAAAGAGTTATTTTTGTTCACCTGCTACATCAAACAATGTAATTAAAATTTACAAAAATCTTTAAGTGGAGGGACCGCGAGCAGTGATCGTGAGCAAGTTTTGAGTTAAAATTAAACAAATAGATTAGTATAATCAACATCAACAAACAGTTCTAAAAAATTAATAATATCGTCCAGATACCCTTGAAAAAGAATTTTAAAGAACAAACTGATACCCTTTTATTTTAATTCAGAAATATTTTCATGACAAGTTCTTCGAAATCAGCCAATTGTATGGAATTTTGAAGTGACGAAATCGGTTTACACTTTTATCGGTTCGTAAGAACATATTAACTTTTTGTCCTCGTAATTTCTCAAAAACCCCTCTGAATAGCTCGACTATGTATAATACAAATACGTTTTTACAGTTTTCGAATTCCATCAAGATTAAACATGTTTCCATGAACTTCTGTCCCATAAAGAATCCTGGTCTTTCAATAATAATCATGAAAGATCAGTAATTGCTGTTCCGAAAAACATTCTTGTTTTAAAAAAAGACATCACAAATTTGGGATAAGATCTTGGTTGGTTTCTGGTCTTTTTCATTATTTAAAAAAAAAACGAGAGAGAAAACCATTCAAAGAGCTAGGCATCTTAATGGTAGTTTTTCACTCGATAAATTGTCAATCTAATATTTATCTAATTGAAAATCGGCAATGAAATTTTGCTGGCCTCAAAATTTTAAAAATTAAAAAGTCGTCAATTTGAAGGGGCATATATAGCTTCAAAATGTTTTAATTTTGGTGCAAACGTTAGAGTTGGATTACTCTAAAGAGGCATTAAATTTTCTACTAGTCACAGTTTTAAATTCTGTTCAATTTAGGAGACTAATTTTTTAAAGAATTTTTAAGAAAAAACATTCTGGCAGTATGACAGCGTATTTATTCCTTTATTCGCTTCATTGGAGTTTTCCTTAGTGTTTTACCATGTGCATGTTTCTCTTAATGCTCATATACACAAACACAAAAAGTAACTGAGCGTAAAAATTGACACATGTTGCCACTAAACTATCAAATGGTTGTTGAAAACTACGGAGTCAAAATCTATCTTTACTTTTAAAAACAACACTTGAAACAACGTTTGCACAATCGCTTTTTTCAAATTTTTATGTGATTTCACTCTTGTTTTACAGGACGGGCAAAGTTATCGGAAAAACTTAAAATCGAAAACTTTGCAGTCTCCTTTCATGTTTAATTATTTTTTATTTCCGAAAAGAAATTGGTTTCCAAAAAATGAGCTTTTTATAAATCAAAATCTGGAAATGAAAATGCGAAACACAACCTTAAGGTGATTTCTTACAAAAACAGTTTCTTCATCATAAATAAACTGTTGTAATTTTGTGACACTATGTCTTTTTTATTCATAATTTTATCGACAATTATTCAGTTTTTAATATTTACCCATCGAATCTCAAGTTCTGCAGTCGAAGATATTTGGGACACCTCGGTAAACTTCTCCGATGCTCAGACTGTTGTGAACACACTGGCCGGAAAATTAGAAGATACTTTTGGGGATGTTTCTGTGCTCTATAAGGAGAAAATGTTCGACGCAGGATTACTGGTGAGTTTTCTCAATCTCAGTCGGCGGATACGTTTTTGATGAAAAAATATACTAAAATGTTAAAACAACAAAAATTCGCGGTCATTTGTTCTGCTATTTGGTCCCTAAATGGAAAACTTGAAGAAAGAGAGTTGAGTGACGTCTTATTTTTTCTTCTTGTTTTTGATTTGTTCAGTAACCAAGCCGAACCGATGAACCGAGGTTCTTTTTCCTTAACCAGCGAGTTTTTACAATCATTTTCTGTTCGCATTGTCTGATTGTTACAAAAATTGGTAGGCGGACTAATTAGGCTAAAATTTTTGATTTTCATATTAAAACTTATAAAACCCCTCGTTACACAATAAAATTGATACGTATGTGAGGGCGGGTTTGGGAGGAAGAAGTAAGGGAGCAGGGGGTGGGGAGAAGATTTTTGTTCAAACGCCGGTCCTAATGTTGAATAACATCAATACAGATATGGCTTTATACTTCGTTTCGATGTTGCTCGTCATCTATGACGGGTATAGCGACAACTCAACTCCTATAGCAACAAAAGACAACTCCTAAAAAAAACGAACTCCTTGCTAAGTATTAGGTGTAAAATTAATACAAAAGAATAATTTCGTTTTAAGGTCACGATAACTGGCTCTAATTTTCGTTTAAAGTCCTACCCTCTGCTGATAAGCTCGCAACGCATTGGCGCAACTTCGGCGATGGGTATTTTGCGAGATGTATTTTAATGCGAGTTGTGTTTTCTTGCCAGTTGTTTTTGTTGCGAACTGCCATGTTATGTTATTTTAAGGCGAATTTTGAGCTTTAAAGATAAATTTTGGCGGACTGACTTTTAAAATCTTTTCCAAAAAATGTCGGCCCACTGTTTATCAGCTTATGTTTTGTCGGCTTACTTGCCACATCGTAGAATTGATTTTTCAATGTAGTTGCTGTAAATGTAATGAATTGAATGCAATTTAATATTCTACTCCTGACTGTATATGTAGCTGTTTTTTTTTCTACCTACCTAAATGATTTTGGCTTATATTTAAAATGCTTAGGGACCTAATTTGGGATCGTTTCAAGGGCAGCATAAGATTTATGCTTCGTTCCGGGTCGAAGAGAAGGCTAAAATTCTTTGAATAGACTTTACTCTTCAAAGTTTTCATGACAACATTTATATTTTTGGTTCTACGAGAAAGTATTCAAGTTTGTCTGTTCAGTTGCCGCTTGGTATTCGTTTTCTGGATTTTCATTGATCTCTATCGATTGTTTCGGGAAGTGTTTACTGCAAATAGAACAAGATGATAGACAACATTTTGAAGTTTTTTTATACTTAGTGTCTTCAATCAACCATCTTTGACTGACGTAGAGGTACCATAGCTGATTGAGACTGCAGTGGTTTGTGGTTCAAACAGGGCCGGGGTCTGTTTTTTTTTTCAAACTTGATTTTTTTCTTGGAACTCAATTTTGCCGGCTTAAATCCCGCAGAAAGGGTTTTTTGAAAGTTCGCTTGCTTTTAGCGTTTCAAAGGCGCAGGTAATTTTGTTCCACATTTTTTGGTTTGTGTGCGTTTTTTGTTAATTAATTTTTTGATTTTATTTTAATTTTTGTTTTTCTTATCGTTTGATTTTAATCACGGTCATTTATTTTTGTATTGCAAGTGGCGCGAAGCCCTTTGGTGGTTAATGAAGGTTAAGGGTTAGTTGTTAAGTAGATCTCAAAATAAAGTAAAGCATTTTTGGCAAATTATGAGGCAGTAAACATTGTTATTATGTAAATTCATTTCAATATAAAATGAATCGAAACCTCAAATTTAAAACACGTTGGAATTAATAATAAGGAAAAAATTCATATTAAGAAAAACTGTTTATTTCGGCCTCAAAATATTGATTTTTTTGCCTCTACCCGACCAAGAAGTTGAGAATTTTGCCAATTTGCTACTGCTCTTGCGATTACAAGCTAAAATTAAAGTTTTTTAATGCAGATGTAACTGGTGCTTACGTTAAAACTAATGAAGTGAAAAAAGTTTTAAAAAAGTGATAGTTAGAGGTTCAAAAGAGTTCGTGGCATATCGGAAGTTAATTAAACTAAAACTGCTCATTTCAACGTTTTAAACAAATGTCTTGCAGATTTTAGCAAAAATACAAAATGTCAAAAACCTTAATTAACATAAAATGCATCTTGTATGGCCAATGAGGTTTATGTTCATCGATGTTGCCAACACTTTGTATCATCTATAAAAGGCAGCAGTTCAAAATTCCATGTGTTCAATGAAAATCTGCACAGATGAATATTTATGTTGCTTAAGAGTCTTCCCTTGAGCTTCATTTTTTTTTAACAATAGCTGAGTGCTACAATTTTAAAAATGAACTAGATCGATATGTGTTCCGATTTTTGAAGAAAACGGATTGTTTATGCTCGGTGTGTTTTTTTTTAATATTCAGTCAATTTTCGCCGATCGAAATAATTGATTTCGACGAAAATTTTTCAGACTTCATTGAAGATATGAACTTCCTGAGTTCAAATGTAAACAGATATTTTACCTCCGATTATTTTTGTAAAAGTTCTGGGGTTTAAAATCTGCCAAATTGGCCATGTTTTGGACTAAATTATGCGGGCTTTAATTTATTCACTTTGTTCATAGCCTAAAGCGAATTCTTTATGCGTGGCGAATTATCCCGCACAACGAAATCATTCCAAATTGAAATTAGGCTAGCTAATCAGTACGACTCAAATTTTTACACTTTGATATTGTCCAACATGTATAGGTTTTTAATATTTTCTTTTCCCAAAAATTATTCGATTCGATATAAACTAAGGGATAGTCCGAACATTCAGGGCTTCGGCCTGATATATGAGCAGTCTTTTTTGCCTTAATTTAGTTCACTTGTTTTTTATTTGTCATTTAAGAAGCTATTGTAATTATCGTGTTTACCAATGCAGAGCTTATGTTAAGTAATCATTTGACACTTATTCAGTCATTTAATTGTTCCGACTTCCGAAGAAAACGGAATATATTATTTTTTGTAAGTTCTGGGGGATTGAAAATTGCCAAATTTGCCATGTTCTTGACTAAACTATGCGCGCTTTGAAAAGTTTATTTATAGTGCTGAGACCGTAACGCGAATTATTCATGCATGGTGAATGATCCCACACAGCAAAGTCGCTTCAAATTGAATTGAGGCTAGCTAATTAGTCGTATTAATTTCGAAAGACTCGTAATTTTACACTTTGATATTGTCCAAAATGTACAGGTTTTCAATATTTTCTTTTACCAAAAACTATTCGATATCAAATAAGGGACAGTCGGAACATTCAGGGCTTTGCCTGATGTACGAGCAGTCTTGTTTTTTTCTCTAGCCCGGGTAGCAAATTTCTGTGTTCCATTTTTGGATTCATTTTTATTATATGTGCTCATTTTTGGGATAATTAGTAGCCTTCATTTTTGCCTGATTTTTACAAATATAGCTCATGTCTTACAGCGTATCCCGATGCTACAGAGTAGGGCAGGATATTTTAATACTATTCAGAGTGATATTCCGAACTGTTCAATTCATGAATTGGTTTGCTAATTCAAAAGATACAAGACAACTTTCATTGTATTCGGTTAAGTTGGAGACCTGGGATCCAAAGAAATACAAAAAAGTCAGACAATTGCAGATGACCATCAAGTTCAGCCAACTAATTTGGCCGTCAAAACCACATTAAATACATAAAAAATGGTAAATAAATAGCTTGGTATCTATAAAATTGAAAAACTCTAATTCAGCCGAATGACAGCGTCAAAAAAAGTTTCAAAAAGATGCTTCACAATGCAAGAAAAAAATCTTGCGTTCAAACCGCACGTGCGCTGCAGTTTACAAGGCGAGCTCTTGTAAGATAGCCATAGCTTAGTTAAACTTAAATAATTAACTTTCGGGTTAGGCCTCGACCAAAGGAAAATTAGCCGCAACCAGTGGAACCGAAGGAGCATTCTGTTACAATATCAAACGATGAGAGACAAATTGTATTGTAAACATTGCTAAGGAATTTGTGTTCCAAACTCTTGTATCATTGACAAAACTGCCCAAAACTGTAACTTATTTTTATAAAGCTGTAGAACATAGTCAAAATCTAGTTTACTTGATTTGACTTAATGATTTTTATGGTAGGTCGCAACAGACTCAATTTTTGTTAAGTTTACTTGATTTGACTTAATGATTTTTATGGTAGGTCGCAACAGATTCGGTTTTAGTTAACTTTCACCTGAAGTGACTTTTATTACCTGCACATTTCTTGCCCCGCACAAATTTGTTCAATCATGAATTCGGCAGTTGTTATGTTCATTTGGCACTAAATCCTTCGAGATACGAATTGTTCAGACAGTTTCGCAAATTAGCATCAAGTTCAGCCAAGAAATTTGGCCGTCAAAACCAAAAAAAAAAAACATTTATCAGAACGATAAAAAATATCCAGGAATGTACAAAGTTCATAACATAATTCCAGCCGAATGACATTGTTTCTGCGATGTGTATCTCTGCTTTTCTGTTGATTTCAAATACAGAAGTAAAACTGCACTTGCAAAAACAAAAAAAAACGTGCAAAATGGAGCTTAGCAGTGCAAGGAAAAAAGTTAAAAAGCTCTGAAATCCAGCTAACTGTGCTATACAATCTTGCTGTCTTAAAGCACTAGCCCCCAATAAAGCGGATACAACCCATCCCAAAAAATGCTAATACTGGCATGCTATTCAGTCTCAAACTGTTGAGTGATAACTTTTTAAGCATCAATTTGTTGAGAACTAGTTTATGCGTGGTATTGTGCAAGCGTTTGCTTGTGATTCAATTTAAAAATAATTGATTTTTTTCTAAATTCTACTTCTTTTAAAGTTTTACTGATTACCGGTCGGAGCATTCTGTTAACTGTACAGCAGACACGGCTGCTTCTGTTAAGATTTATCTTTTAGTTTCATTTATGAATTTTGAAGTCAGTTGACAACGAAGGAAATTTTTTCTCCTGTTAACGTACTTTGCTGAGTTAGAAAAAGTTA